TTTTAACGGTAGTACTTTCAAGAACAGAGCTAGCTTTCATCTCACATGGTGAATGTTCACATGGGCCTGAGTTAGTTTCATTTGAGTACATGTTGTGAAGAGATTTTTTTGGAATATTCAGTAGAATTTTTACTGTTTTCTATGGCTTTTAATTGTAGATATTGTTTCTTATAAACTAATTTTCTTATTCAGAATTAATAAATATTTGTAGTTAATTAATTTATTTTTATTTGACCATTTAATTTTGATTGATTAAGAATTAATCCGTATTCTGAATTTACCCTAAAGTACCTCTGATACGCAATGTTACAAACCTTTAACCTCTCCTGAAACATGACTACGCGATCTAAACGGAGATGCTGCATCAAAACCTCTGCTGTCTCCAGAATACCGGATTCTTAGTTCGTTACTTACTTTCCACCGCACTGAAAACTCCTACGAAAACCGAAGAAGGTTTCCTCAATTGCAGGGAATATACTTATGAGTAATCGCGAATAGCAAGCTCCAGAGACGTCGTGCAACATATGGTGCTAGGGACTTTGCACAAATTGAAACAGTTAAAAATTGGTTACTGCTTTAAATGAGTTATTTTATGTCATTAAGTGATTTAGGAGATTTTAATGACCATTTTGTTGCATTTATTAAGTCAGTAGTTGATAACAATCATAACATCAACATTTATGTTCTTTATTCTATTAGAGAAATTCAATTTATTGTTCACCGTTAGAAATAGATTTACTGGAATTCAATGTTACATTTTATGGTAATGCGTGTCCGTTCTTGTATTTTTGTATTATTTGTATTCGTTTATGTTTTTGTGTTAAAGACATTTCGATCGACGCAAATTTCGAATTCACAAGGTTTTACGTAATTCGTAATTTTGTCCTTTGAATTTTGAATTTATTATTGTGTATAACTTTTGATGAGCCTGTCCTGTTTATTTTAAATCTGTTTTCTTGTTCTCATTAGCAGAATACAGTGTTGAAGAGCGGTCATCCGCAGTTGTCCCATGTATCAGGTTTAATGGTGGGCCACATTGTGTTCCTGTCTAAAATTGAAATCATTCATTGATCAATTTGTATTAACCAATTTTGTATTAACCAATCAACTTGATTTGGAAATACTGTCATACTAGCACTGTTTTTCCAAACATGGATGTTTCTGTGACATAAAATGCAGTAGCTGCTTCGCTTGACAAAATGATGTTACGGAGTTGGTCCATAATATTGTGATTTTATTGTAACTTGTTTTGTAATTAACAGTTGAACAGTTTCCTTCGTTTTTTGTGAACCGTCGGTAACTTATGCATGATCATAAGCGCATCATAATCATCTGCCTTTTTCGATTCACTGCTAGATTAAGGCTTTCAAGACTTCGCCATTAACTTCCAGTTTGTGCGATTCTTCTCCATCTTGATCAAACAAATTTCTTCATCAGCTCGTCCTGCTGTCGATCTGGAGATGTTACTACGAGCCATTTTCCATCTCTTTGAATCCATTCTAACGTTTCGCTTCTCTAGCAATCATCGGTTTTTCTTGCAACGTGTCCAGCCCTTTGCCACTTGAACTTCTTCACTCGGACAATGACATTTCAATGTTCGTTTGTGTGCTTAGTCATTCGTTCGTTTTCCTGTTTTTGTTCTTATCACGTACACACACCTACCTTTTTACTTTAAATATACAGTGTAAATTAAATCAATTTATAGCGTTCTAACTTGAGCCCATCAAATAAAGAGAAACGCGGAATCCTGTGGTTATTGGACGACATGTCTGCATTTACTGGTTCGACCGACGAGTCGTTTCTCGAACGGCTATTTGCTCACTACGGACAGAGTAAGTCTTCACTTCAACGAGTGTGGCCGCCGCCACTGAGGCCACTGTTGACCTGTACGTTCATTTAGACGATGCACTGAAGAAGGCGAAATCTTATGGGCACTTCACAATCCGGCACGCTCTGGGCACTTTTCCGGTCACCTACAACACCAGTGGCTGGCTGAAGCAAATCAGGGAGAGCGTCTTCGCACGAACCGTCCTGCCGCTACTTCAGAACTCGAAAAAGTAACTGACGGCTTGCTTCGCACTTGTTCGCTGGTCATCTTCACGTGACTTGTCGAACAAGCGCTTATTTGTTTGTTACTTACACGAGTAGCTATTCGTTTTTGATTATTTTTCAAGGGAAACCGTGGCTTCACTGTTTGGTCATCTGCATCAGTCGTACGGCGTGCTTACAGCGTCGTCGGTCTCATCGCAGAACAACGGCGGTGCCGCTTTGAAACGTTCGCTCAGTCTCATGAAAGTGCTCAACTCCCAACAGCCTCTCAAGCGGAACAGTTGCTGCTCATATCTGAAAGTTCAAACGGTACGTATTCGTCGCTTCCGCATTATTGACGCTGTATCGGACGGCACATGCATACATGCATTATCGATTGATGCTTGAGAATAAACGGTCACTAACGTATCATGAGAACGGATAAAACATTCTTTGGGAAAGCTGCGCGCCGTGTTCCGCAGACAAGTCAAAGTCTTAGACCGGAACATTTTTGTCACTTAATAAGCGAATCGTCTCCCAGTAAAGCCGCTAATGTTGACTTTGTTGACAGCGATATCAGCCAGACTCTTCACTTCACCGTAGTTTATTATTTACGAAATTACTGACAGTTCCAAAATCCCCCCTCCTTGATTGTCATGCAACGTACATATGTCTTTTATTGTTGTCACACTGATAAGGAAATGCTTTTCTACGATCTCTAAAGCATGTTTAATAGCTGTTTTCTCTGTGATGTTTTTGTCGTTTATTATCGTCTATTTCATTATCATCACCATCGTTATCTTCATCATTATCATTGTTGCCATTATCATATGGTCAGCGCATGAATAGTTGCGCTAGTTGCGCAATGGGATTCTGACTTCCTGCGATGACAGCTTTAAACTGATAAAAATCAGAAGGGCGTTTGAGCAAGCTGTTGTTCATCTGCATCGTTTACCATGCCTGAATTGCCATCACGAATACGAAGGCGGAGCGCCATAGAGAAAATTTTTTTGCTGCCACGAGAGTACAGCATGTAGGAGTCTTTCTTCTTAGCCTGGCTACACGGTTGAATGCGCGATGTCGAAGACTCTTTATGACAGTGGTATACATTCCAGTCCGATGAATTCATCGATGGCTGCTTTTCAGATGCAACATATTTCATTCGAAAGGGTTTACTGGTGATGGAATGTGTGAGAAAGAGATCGATCCGCGAATTAAGATGGCCAGCGACGTTCTGCGTCCTAAATTTTTGCCACTAACGACAAGCTGAGTTTCAAGACGGAACTGCCTGTGTTCAAGTCCATTTTCTATAATGAATGTAGTGTACTATGTTAGAGATAGCTATTCCATCTTCCTTCACTTTTACTGATATGGTGAAATACATAATAGGGTGTGTGAAATCCGTCCATTCATTTTAGGCGTAAGTTTTACAACATTAAAAAACTCAATACAACGCTAATTGCACAGTGTATACAGCTTCCATAATGTGGTACAACTGCTGCAAACATGTACGGTCCAATTCTATACTTTTTTCCGCCATCCGATGCCAGTTCTTGCTTTCCTCTCGCAGCTAACGCTTCGTTCTTTATTTTTACTATTTATGGTTTGCACTTAGTTCTAGCAAGCGTATACTGTCAAATTCATCAAGGTAAATTGCAGCCGTAAAACTCATGCATGATTTTGTCATCCAAACTCTGTTTGACATGATCGCATTAGAACAACACTATCCCTGTCGTTCGCAGATCCGCTACTGACTACTTATTTCTCAGCCTGTTGCTTCGAACTATAGTGGGGTAATTCCTTGGTCAACAAAATTAACCAATAATAAGAGGCAACTTACTCCACGCTTGATGTCTAAGCCCGACACCTTCATAGTGCAAATGCAGCTACTAATGCCTTCTCTCAAGGAATGAACTCTAAAATATGCTTTAAAATTTCCCGATCTTTTAATGCAGTCTGTATACAAAAACTGAGTAGCTCAGGATATATTTTGCTCCATCTCCATCACACGTACGTTCATGTAATTTGCAGTTCGTATTGTTGGCAGAACCGAAAAACATTGTTTCTTGTTTTTTTCAGGACGTGTTGGTGGAAAGCATTCAACGCTGCTCTGATTGTCATTTCCTTCACTGTTTCGTGCCTTCGATGCATACAGGTTCAGGCGCTGCGCGGTCAGCGGAAAAAGAAGTTACTGTCGATGAAGCCGTAATTCGTCAGCAGCTGAGGGGTCTGCATTTGGTCGACGCCGTTCGCCTGGAAAAAATCGGTACAACCATTGACGCTATTAGCCATTGGTCAATCGATGTGTTTTAGGCTACCCGGAATCGATTTCATACGCTGAACTGTTACAACAGTACAAGTGTCTCCAAAATGTCACCACCGAAAATTCCTCCTCGGAGACGAACAACGACAGATGTGTTGCAACCCAGCTTCTTACTCACCTGGGCGTCGATAGTGGCCAAGTGAAGTTCGGTTATTCGCGGGTGTTCATGAAATGCGGCGTGTCCGCGTTTCTGCGAAACAAACGCAACGAGTTTTTCTCAGAGTTTATCACGCGATTCCAAGGCTTGTGTCGTGGTTTTCTTGCTCGACGGAAGTTGGCTAAGCTCAGGGTATGAATCGAACGTATTTTCTGCATATTTTCAAATATAACCATCGACGCTTTCATGCAGCAGTGCACTCAACAGCAGAAAAACTGGGCCAGTGACTGAAAATGCATTAATATGATAGTTAATAAACCATATCACTGCTCAGACCTTCAGCAGTTTACAAACCATGTACTGGTCTTCTCAAGGTAAACAGATAAACCCCAAGGAAGAGTCCAAAAGCTGAACGATGCCAGCGTAAAAGTAGCACTGAAAATGAAAAAGATTCAGGTCATGTTTAAAAATACGTGACGCGACGCGACCTATTGAGGTCAGTGGTTTGAAGAAGTTTTAAACGCATGTATGCAGCGGAGAGCTATGTGAAATCCATTGAATGACATGGAGCATATTT